GGAGGGGCTTATGGAAATCTTGGCAATGCCTATGATAGCTTAGGCAATTTTCATAAGGCTATCAGTTACCACGAGCGTCATCTAGAAATTGCAAAAGAAGTGGGAGACAAAGCTGGAGAAGGAGGGGCTTATGGAAATCTTGGCAATGCCTATCGTGGCTTACGCGATTTTCATAAGGCTATCAGTTACCACGAGCGTCATCTAGAAATTGCAAAAGAAGTGGGAGACAAAGCTGGAGAAGGACGGGCTTATGGAAATCTTGGCAATGCCTATCAGATATTAGGCGATTTTCATAAGGCTATCAGTTACCACGAGCGTCATTTACAAATTGCAAAAGAAGTGGGAGACAAAGCTGGAGAAGGACGGGCTTATGGAAATCTTGGCATTGCCTATAAGTTGTTAAGCGATTTTCATAAGGCTATCAGTTACCACGAGCGTCGTCTACAAATTGCAAAAGAAGTGGGACACAAAGCTGGGGAAGGACGGGCTTATGGAAATCTTGGCAATGCCTATGAGATGTTAAGCGATTTTCATAAGACTATCAGTTACCACGAGCGTCATCTAGAAATTGCAAAAGAGGTGGGAGACAAAGCTGGAGAAGGACGGGCTTATGGAAATCTTGGCATTGCCTATAGGATGTTAGGCGATTTTCATAAGGCTATCAGTTACCACGAGCGTCGTCTACAAATTGCAAAAGAAGTGGGAGACAAAGCTGGAGAAGGACGGGCTTATGCAAATCTTGGCAATGCATATCAGATGTTATGCGATTTCTATAAGGCTATCAGTTACCACGAGCGTGATCTACAAATTGCAAAAGAATTGGGAGACAAAGCTGGAGAAGGACGGGCGTATGGAAATCTTGGCAATGCCTATCATGGCTTAAGCGATTTTCATAAGGCTCTCAGTTACCACGAGCGTTGTCTACAAATTGCAAAAGAAGGGGGAGACAGAGCTGGAGAAGGACAGGCTTATGGAAATCTCGGCATTGCCTATAAGATGTTAGGCGATTTTCATAAGGCTATCAGTTACCACGAGTGTCGTCTACAAATTGCAAAAGAAGTGGGAGACAAAGCTGGAGAAGGAGGGGCTTATGGAAATCTTGGAAATGCCTATGAGATGTTAGGCGATTTTCATAAGGCCATTAGTAACCACGAGCGTCATCTACAAATTGCAAAAGAAGTGGGAGACAAAGCTGGAAAAGGACGGGCTTATCAAAATCTTGGCAATGCCTATCATGGCTTAGGCGATTTTCATATGGCTCTCAGTTACCACGAGCGTTGTCTACAAATTGCAAAAGAAGTGGGAGACAAAGCTGGAGAAGGACGGGCTTATGGAAATCTTGGCAATGCTTATCAGAAGTTAGGCGATTTTCATAAGGCTATCAGTTACCACGAGTGTGATCTACAAATTGCAAAAGAAGTGGGAGACAAAGCTGGAGAAGGAGGGGCTTATGGAAATCTTGGCAATGCCTATCATGGCTTAGGCGATGTTCATAAGGCTCTCAGTTACCATGAGCGTTGTCTACAAATTGCAAAAGAAGGGGGAGACAAAGCTGGAGAAGGACGGGCTTATGGAAATCTTGGCAATGCTTATCAGAAGTTAGGCGATTTTCATAAGGCTATCAGTTACCACGAGCGTCGTCTACAAATTGCAAAAGAAGTGGGACACAAAGCTGGAGAAGGATGGGCTTATCAAAATCTTGGCAATGCCTATGGTGGCTTAGGCGATTTTCATAAGGCTATCAGTTACCACGAGCGTTGTCTACAAATTGCAAAAGAAGTGGGAGACAAAGCTGGAGAAGGACGGGCTTATGCAAATCTTGGCAATGCTTATCAGAAGTTAGGCGATTTTCATAAGGCTATCAGTTACCACGAGCGTCGTCTACAAATTGCAAAAGAAGTGGGAGACAAAGCTGGGGAAGGACGGGCTTATGGAAATCTTGGCAATGCCTATGAGATGTTAAGCGATTTTCATAAGACTATCAGTTACCACGAGCGTCATCTAGAAATTGCAAAAGAAGTGGGAGACAAAGCTGGAGAAGGACGGGCTTATGGAAATCTTGGCATTGCCTATAGGATGTTAGGCGATTTTCATAAGGCTATCAGTTATCATGAGCGTCGTCTACAAGTTGCAAAAGAAGTGGGAGACAAAGCTGGAGAAAGACGGGCTTATCGAAATCTAGGCATTGCCTATGGAAACTTAAACGATTTTCATAAGGCTATCAAGTACCATGAGCGTCATCTACAAAAAGCAAAAGAAGTAGGGGATAAAGCTGGAGAGAGATGGGCTTATGGAAGTCTTGGCAATGCCTTTCATAGCTTAGGCAACTTTCGTAGGGCAATCGAGTACCGTGAGCGTCAGCTACAAATTGCAAAAGAAGTGGGGGACAAGGCTGGAGAAGGAGAGTCATACGGTAATCTTATCTTATACTCTTAATCAATACATATCAGAGCTTTCGCGATTTTCATGACTCCAACCTAAAATTGTCCTGGCAAAATCAAAGGATAAAAGTTTGTTTGAGTATTGCATCTACATTATAAATTTCAAAGCTGAAAAATTCTCTTACCGCTCGACCTAGTCTGCCAAAGGCAAAGAACTTTTGCCTCTCTAGTAAACTGATTTCAGTTCAGCTACACGCTGTTCGTAGCTTTTGCGATAATTAATCGATAAGTTTATCACGGTCTTGCTTATTTAATTAATTTTGTCCAGATTTTACTTGGGACAAATTTGTCGACGATGTGTTTCACGATGTGTTTCACGATTTGTCGGCCTTGGCCAAAATTTGTCAAAATTTAGTGATGACGAAAAAATTGTTTTAAATAAACAACTTTTTCGTTAGTGCGGAAAGACCCCATGTTGAACAATTTTGGTTGAATAGATATTGGGAATTAAGTGGTAGTAAATGTCCGTTATATTGTATACTGAAACCAAACACCTCAAAATAATAATTTCCCCAGCCAAAGAGGAGGATGAGGTACCTTATTACACCGGCAGGAAAGATTTGGCAGATATAGAAGATGCAACAGTAGACACTGAAGACAATGAAAAGACTTTGATCAAAAGGTATGGGTTTTTCTGCAATGACTCAGTTTTTTTGCCTTTCTCATGTTTTTTTTTTGTCATGGATTCACAGACCATTGTAAAGAGCAGAGTTGGAGTTGCTAGGAGGTGTTAACTAATGGCAACTTTTGACAAAGTGCTCTGACTAAAGAACAACCCTCCGGACCTCTTTATAAATGACAGTTACTTTCTTATATTTTATTTTTAATCTTTAATTAATAAAGTTCATGCTTAATAACTGTAATGCTATTAAAAATGTATTACATTCATGCTCAAATCACTGGTGATCCTTGCAATCTGATTGGTTCTCATTGGCACGATTTATTGATAAAATGCACCATTTTTTGCTCTAAAGTGCATCGATTTCCCAGCTAATGAGAAAGTTCCACGAAAATACAGCAATAAATCAGATTTAACTAATTGTTTTAGGAAATCAATCAAATTGCAGAAAAAAAGAAAGACAACTTTTACAACATTTTACAGACCAGCTCAGTACTGGATAAATAACATACATGTATTTGTACCGGCTTTAAAAAAAAAATCTTTACTGATTTAGCAACTGAATTTTGCAAATTTAAAATAAATGTAATGAAGTGGTAATTGAACTTTTGCCATGCACTTTTAGTCTGAAATCATATTTAGTGATTTCAAGTCTAATGCTGCTGCACAATCCTTTGATTCAGCTGTCACGCGTATGATTTCAGAACAAAGTTTACTCCACCCAGTTCAATTACCATGTTCTACAGGTATTCAACATTTTTTTTTCAGTGTTCCATTAATAAAGGGGTACTTAATTATTATCAAAAATGATAGTGAATCATTTTAATAAATTTTTTAATTTATGATTATAACATTTGCACATATTTGACGCATATTTACACGCTATTTGAGTCAAAGTAAATCAAATTAATGGAAAAGAAAAGAAAAATAACATTTATTAGATTTAGTTATGAAATTAAGTGTTAATATCTGAATGAGTTTTTCAAACTGCCAGTTTGCCACTTGCCTTTGTCATTGCTTACTCCTCCAGATCAACTGATCAAGACGTTCTCCAGAAGGAGGAGGCTGCAAGAAATGTGGATGAAAGAAAGACTGTCATCAAGAGGTGCAGTTCATTTGCATGTAGTCGTTCTGTTATCCCACGTTAGTGGAATTATATATACATATATACATAAAAAAATGAGTTATACAATGGCCCCTAAGGGTGGCTACTATGCAATTTCTCCTCACAACATCACCCCTGAATCAAACTTTAAGGTCAGGAGAATAAAGAAAATGATCACCCTCTAATGCAGCTCTAGATTGCCAAAAGACTTCTCCTCGTCAGAAACTTAAGAAATTTTTACCGAATAGTTTGGAGAAAAAAAAAACTGTATGATGTCAGGGTGTAAAGGGTTAACATGATTTGCGAATATTTGCGTGCAATGCACATTAGCGACATAACAATTATATTAAGCTGAGCTTGATAAAAGAAAAACTTTCCCTGAGTAGAATCAGCCATGATGGTCACATGCACAATTGAAAATTTCGGGATAAAGAAAAGAATGGCTATTTTGAATGCTGTTCATAAAATTTTAAATAGAATGTTATTTATTCTCTAACTTGATGAGATAGCTTAGATACAATTTGCACTACAATTGCTCAAAAACCTACAATTTATTCCATGAAAGTAAGTCCACACTTATTTAGAAGAAGCATTGCTTCACTGAACTAGGTACTCTCGATTCGTGAAATTCGGAAGCGTTGTATTAGCTATATAGTCCGGTGATCTAAAGCCTTTTTAAGTTCCTCCCCAACATCTGTCCTACGTTATTTATACAACGATAGCCCTATAAAAAGTATAGGTAGAAAGTAAAGGTTGCTAATAATTTACTCTTTAACTGCGGTATTATTATAGTTTAGCATTCCTGCAGAAGGCTTGATAAATGTAATTTTGTAATTATTTCAGAGGTAAAATTGCAGACGAGTCAGAGACTTGGAATCTTGCAAGAGCTGGTGCATCCATCACATTTAACCTTGTAGCGATAACAAAATCCTTGACCATAACATGTTCATTATGGACCCCCGCAGCCCTTTCTCCGCCCATTGGTAGTAATGAGCTCTTGGTAAGCAATGTGATTGAACTGTCTCATGATGGCCCACCTGACCTGGAGTTCGTGGAAAATGCTTCGGGAAGCATAAATGTAGCTTTGTTGCACAGTGCCTCAAACTTCAAAGGGTACGAAGTGGTTATAAAGCAGTTGGTTGACCCCGAATACAACGAGTGGGAGGATTTGGAGACAAGAAACATTTGGCATTCGTCAGGTACTGAAATGATAAATTTCACCGATGAGATCCATACACAAGTATCATTCCATATACTTCTTGCTAATTTCTCAATCCATAGTTAGGATCATTTAAGGGAGATGGACAGCCGGCTTAGTGGTTAGTGCACGTAATTCCAGATCGACATTTACAGCTTCATGGTGGTATGTTCTCGGGCAAAACTTAGAATGGATTAGAATAACAACATGGAAGTTCTCCCATACAGACCTTCAGCTTGGCTAATAGGGACTAAGTAATAATTGACACGGATTAAACCTACAGGAACGTTATTAACAGTATCTTTATGTCGTGGTCGAGATTCTCTTACACAGACCTCTCTGTTAGAAAGGTTTAAGTAGTAACCATAACTAATGATATCTATTACAGCATTACTAATAATATCAATATATTACAGTAAATCCAACCGTCCCCAATTGGACGTGCCCTTCCGCTGAAGCTTCTTGCTCGAAAAGGTGGTTTTCCTCGTTTGCAGCAGTCTGGCGCCTCAAGTCTTTTGTCTTTCCTAAGCCTACGTCTAAGACCTCTGAGTTTATCTGTCCACTGCCAGACTATCCAAATGTTAGTGTTGCGATTCCATGGAATTCTTTGCCTGCCGATACAGACTTTTCTTTAACTCTAAAGGTATTTACACCCGATGTTGCATTTGTAAGAAATAATAATGATGATGATAATAATGATGAAATTTATTGCCATCATTATCGTTATCATTCACATCATTATTACTATATCGATCATTTGTTTCAAAAGACTTAGATGGTGATGACAAAAAAACCAACTTATTGCCGAGAGGATGTTACCTTGATATAAAATCAAATGCTTTGACCTTAATTACAGCCAATAGCGGATTTTATGAAAACTATCATGTTAGTATAGAGTGCATAGATTTTAGCTGAAAAAAAAATGTTTAATCAAATCTATTTATCGTCCCTATTTCAATTGGCAAACTACTGGTAGCTAACAAGAATACCTTGGGTTATCATAAATTTTTGATATGATTGTTTTGGCTCTTTTAATTTGAGGTGCAAGAAGCGCCAACCATCGACCACGATGTGGAAGGAATGTTTGTTGGTCCGATTCTTCACATTTCGTGCTCAAACAATGTGACGCTGTCAGCGCCAGCGAAAATCAGCCTCCCGTTGGCACTCACAGACGGTGGAATAGAGCCAGCGGAACTGCATTCAGGTCAAGTGAAGATACTACATTTCAATTCGAGAGAGGAATCACAAGAATGGACGGATATCACAGATCATTTGGATATGCCTGTAGTTCTTAGAGGTGGAATAGTGACGTTTCATGTCAAAACTTTCTGCCGGTAAGATGAATGTGTAGACCGCATTATTATTTTATAAACTGTATGCAGTTAATTAATTTTTTTTTTACATTTCTCGAAGTGAACCATTAGTTTTAGAAACCAGAAGTTCGCTTTGCAATTTCTGTGAGACTCTAAATTTCGTCAATTCATATGCTATGGGGTTGAATGTGATGATGAGTGCAAAAGAGTAAACTAACACATATTTAAGGCCGTGAGGACCATTTCCAAATCATACGCCTAATTTTTGAGAAATTTTGATCCCACTGGCGAGTGAATGGAGTTGTTAAAAATAACAAGCATCCAGTGAAAATTCTATAGAAGTTGAAAAGAAGGATGCTTAACGCCAATTTTATTGCAAAAACTGCTCCTCATGTGAGCTTTTGTTCTGCTCCACAGTGTAAGTCGTATACAAACGTTTGAAATCTGTTGTTTTAACATGCAGCGCTTTCCACAAATGAGGTATACCTACTTGTGAGTAAAATAACCCCCTCCCCCTCTGCTCCTAGTTTTCCTCCCCCTCCTCTTCCTCCTCCTACTCTCTCTCAACATTGGGCGCGTCTCTCGAGCTTCCCCAGGTTATTCAAGCTGGCTTTAAAATCAAAAGTTCTCATTGGAAATAGTTTCTCTCTTGCGAAGTCCAAAAACCGGACTTGTTGATTAGTTTTGAGCTAGGTAACTGACTCGGGTGGATACTTTAAAAAGGTCATGGTACTTGTCGAGGGATTATTTCCCTCTAGCAAATATTTCTTCTCAAGCGGTCAACATCTACAAAAGTGTACATACCTCTTTAAACGTGTGTGTGTGTGTGTGTGTTTTTTTTTTCATGTCGTGTAGAGTTTCCTGCCATTCTCTTTCAGGTTTTGGCCCTGGTTGTTGAAGACGTCCGCCAGCATTCCATGCAAATATGCCTCGCTCCTATGCGATGGAATCATGAAACAGCAAGCTGGGTTTTTAGCTTGCTTATGCAATGATGTAGTACCCTCGAGATACGTGTTGAATATGTTTTGTTTCCCGCGGCAGTTAAGGTCCAAAGTGAATAGCGATATGTCCTCAACATATTGTGTGAATATGCAAGGAGAAGGAACCTCGAAGAAACCGCTGTCTAGCGGTGATGAAACATGTGTGTCTCTATCAAATGGATTTGAAGTGCAGGGAGCGGGAAATGTAGAGAAAATCGTCTTAAAGTAAGTACCAGCACTGTTACGTTTCATCGTTCCGTCCTCATGATCCGCTCATTCGTAAAATAATGTAGAAAGGCATAGTGACTCTGCCTCTGTAACTAAGCTGCAACTAAGAGGAGGGTTGAGAAAGCGGCTCTGTCCTATGGTCTCCCGGCTTAAGGTCACAAGTCTGTTTCACGAAGGGATCTAAATTATCCATTCTAACTTCTTACCTTTAGAAAGCTAAAAATCTAAGAGAAATTTACACTTCAGTATTGTAAAGTTAAATAAGTTCCTTAAGTACGTGATTCCTTCACTGAGTTTGACCAGGAAGAAAGTCAAATTTAAGTGATTTGCTAAATCCACTATACTAGAAACCTAAGAAAAAAGTTAATATCCATCTAAACTTTTGTTCCCTTATTTATGCGAGGTTCCACAGTGAGCACCATGATCACGAGTTTCTGCGTGTTAGTATTAAAGACCCGAGTGATCTGCAAGTCGACTTCCTAAAACTGCTAGGAGGCGAGGAGAGAAATAATTTCCCAATAATATGTAAAGTGCCCATCATTCCAAGATCTCCAGCACAGGTATTTACGATACTGCTGTTTAAATGCATACATCTGCATTTTCATTCACTGAAACAAACTATGTGGATAAACAAAAATTGTACTGTCGTAAATCGCTTCCCAGAATGCTTGGAACTCAACCAAACAAAGTATCTGTGGTGAGATATCTTTTATTTCATTAAAGTATTAGGACGATTATAATGTAAAGTAAAGTCAAAGAGTTACACTTGCAGCTTTTTCTCGAGGCTCTCTTCGACATACATATATTCTGCAATTTCCATCTCCCAATTGCCTTGCAACTTCAGCAGCTTTTCGACAAGTAAATTTAAGCTGTTCTGAATATTGGATGTTAATCCTGTTGCCCCACTGAACCATACGTTTTAGAGATTACAGTCTTTTGGATTGAAATTTAGGGTGTACCTGGCAGTGAAAAGCATGTGGCCACACCCATATAATTTCCAGAGACACTAATTTGGTGGCATGAGTTTTCGATCCACTCGGATATAAATATGTTTACCTTTCCAGTAATTATTATTGCTTGTAAATGTTCCTTACACGCTCAATATGAAATTTAAAATGAGTGGGATAACCTCTACTGTATTCATTTCACCAAAACAAATCCAGCGAATACTTAAGAAAATAAAGCGGCAAACTAGGATCCGGCCTTCCGATCCTTTGATCCAGATTTTTTCTTTTTATATCAGTGGTAATCTGGAAAGCGGCAGGTTTCTTCTTGAAAAATAGTCCTTTCGGGTTAGAGGCACTGCTGAGTCGACAATAGTCGACAAAATTCGCCATCAAAAGGTTTCCGAGTAACATCATGAAGTCATTTTAAGGCAGCACGACCTTATTGAGGACGAATCACTGGAAACAGATGTATGATGAATGTCGTATAGGTAAAGAAACGTCCTGCCCAAAGGAAATCGTACAGGAACATATAAGACATTAAAAGTTTTTGATTTAGTGTACTACTTTTATTTTTCAGTTGCTTTGAGGTCACTTTCCATGCCTCTGCTTTCTTCTTCTTTGTTTTTTCTTTTTCTTGTTATTTAGTAATTTTCCTTATTTCCTCAGTTCTATTTGCTCCATACGCACCCGTAATATTGCGAATTTTCCCTCCACCATTTAGGGTCATGTTCCTACCACCTTTGATCCTGAAGAAGAAAGTGGTAAGTTGTTGTTTTTGTCGTTGGTTTCGTTGTCGTTCGAATAAAATGATGGCTGGTCTAGTAAAGTTTACTAGACCAGCCATCATTGGTCGAAAATATGCAAACTCAAAAATGCAGGCTCTGTGGGTTTTGAAAATGTAGCATTTAGTGACAAAGCAACGTGTTCTCAACGGAAAGTCATAATAATCTGCCTTAATTCATGTGTTAATACATCAGGACATGCTCTACCACACTCGACAGTGATCGCTTCTTGTCTATTACGTATCAGTAAACTCGATCCAGACCTTCACAGTAGGTTTGTCCTTCCTTGTAAGGAATTTGATACTGGAAACGAGTAAAGCGCAAAACAGCTCAGTTAGGAAAGACACAAAGAATTGTAATTTTCTAAGATATCATTCCGTTGGTTATATCCCTAAAATAATGGCGTCACTTTAACGGTAAGAAACCCTTTGCAACCTGCTATTACTTTTCAAATGAACTCTTGGATCGACTATGTTTTATTATAACAGCCCCATTTTTCAAATTTGTTAGTGCTCATTATTACCTAGAAAAGAAATTGACAAAACTTACTACTCTAAGTCGTGAAGGCTGGGTCTTACCTGCACGATCGCAGTCCAGGATCACCAAACCATTGTTTCCGAACCATACGCGCCATAACACTTGCGTTCGCTCTCAACCCAACCATGTCATTAACCCCATTTTTATGCAGGCATTTTCGCCCAAAGTGAGAAACATTCATGACCTCCCTTTCAAGGTGTTTGTCGGGCCATACGCCCTTACACTTGCGTTAGTTCTCAACCCAGCCATCTCATTAACTCCATTATGATGCATGTATATCCGCCCAAAGTGCGAAACATTCAATTGTAAAGCATTCAAATATAGAATCATCGTCATTCAGCCTTGTTGCGGCTCATAGGAAGAGGAAACGGAAATCTACAGGTATTACCGAGATTGAAAATATTGCGATGGATTTTCCTTTTTATTGTATTTTTTTCAAGTTTGCATATTGCTGTTACATGTTTATCTATGGTGAAATTTGTTTATGCAGAAAGGCTGGCATTATATTCATTAGACATCCTTTAGACCTCCTTATAATGCGAATGTTATTTAAAAATAAGGAATAAAAACTGCGCGTTGTCACTAATCCAACACCCTTTTACCTTGAACAACTATCACCTTTTCCAGCATTAGTAGCTGGAGACTAGCCAGGAGACGTTGTTAATGACCTCCATTTTCAAGATGTTTGTCGGACCATACGCCATAAACTCTTAGGTTAGTTCCCAACCCAGCCATTTCATTAACTCCATTATTATGCAGGTATTTCCGCCCAAAGTGTGAAACATTCAGTTGTAAAGCATTCATTCATTCAGTGTGACTTTAAAATCCCCTAAAATGAGCAGTGATGATGAAAAACAATCAAATTATAGACTAATGAATGTTTTGTGCCATGCAGAAGCCATATTTGCTGATTTTAGCAAATATGAAACGCTACGATTTTCCTATTAATTTTTCGCCTACATGCATCTCTCTCAAGGTGAAATTTTCCATTCATACATAAAACCTCGACAGATTTTCATATTTTTTAACTTTCATGATCAATCATCTTGTATAAAGAGCTCAAAAATGTAGGGTTATTTACACAAGTGACCGCCTAGAGCCAGAATTGCCTGACAGGTGTAGTTGAGAGAAGCTTGTCACAGTCGCAGATTTTGAAAGGCATCCAAGACAAAAATACAGTAGTGCCCGAAGATTTTTTGATGGTTTTCAGAGATGAAATGATGGATTATAAAGAGGAATCAAGATTAGTGTTGTAGCTTTCTGGCAAGGGGAGATATTTGACTTCAAAGTTGTCAAATATTTGGATGAATCGAAAAGTCTAAAAACTCAGTCGTTTATTTGCCTCTGTTGATTGACAAGCCGTCAATCGAATTGACTGATACTTGCATCGGACATTTACTAAGGATGTAATAATATCTGTGCGAGCCCTCAGAGTAATTGGTTGAGTACCATCGCAGTGAGAGCTTCATACATTTTTCCTATTTTGAAGCGATTTCCTCGGTGAAAACCAGGAAAAACCAAGGGGTTGGTCTATCTCCCCCCGGAAAAAAAACTAAAATAGAAACCTATTTGTCTTTTTTTTTATTTTTGGGGTAGATCCTTTAAACTGGCAAAGTTCCATTGAAATCGGTGGGATGGCATGCTCGGTGCTCTCGTGGACACACTCTGAAACATGTTTCGAAGCTGTTATGTCAACCAAAATTTAAAATATTTTGTAGCAATATACCGAGAAATACATATTAATTGTTGAGAATGAGAAATTGTTGCGTGAGAGAAAGAAATCACTATGCGAGCTATCGATTAATGTTTCTGAGTCGGTGAGCAACAACTAGTCAGCGGAGTGTATATCTCTCAAAATGGCGGAACAAGTGAGTGCAGAAGACTTCACAGAGTTTGTTCATTCTCTAAGGAGCACCATTGAAAGAGGCGCTTCCGTTTATCACGCATCTGATCATTTTGGATCAGAAATCTGCGCTAGGAAGCTTGAAGAACACACAAAAATGCTTATCACCATTAATCACTATCTCAAAATTCCTCTTCAGACCTGTGTGAGGTGTTAGAATTGTCTTTAGTCGTCTAATTAAGATGAAGACAAATATGTAAAACAAATAGAAGACAGAGCTTTGCTGAATAGAAACTGTCCCTTCATAATATCATAAAAGTAACACTTGTACGAGTACAATCGAAACCCTCATTCACGGTATTTTAAACAGAAAAATTACAATGTAAACAAAATTGAGACCTGGCATTTGCTTGAATGAATAAAAAAAACGCAACAAGTAGGAACACAAACAAAACATGTCAAATTCGAGTATTTAAATACTGTAGCATAAACAACGATAAAATGCGAACAGGGTAGTTGTAACATTTTCATGCAATCGTTCGTTTCCGTTCACAGCAAATGGAGAGGATCAACAATTCCATGTTTATACTCTTCAATTACATTAGGCAATCTCCTGTAATGGAACTTTATTTCTGAGCGCTCGCTGTAGAATCATTAAATTCCTATCCAAGGCAGAACGATTTATGTACTTCGCGGGGTTTTGTTTTCTAAGCCGTGGACGCGTGGTAGCAAAGAAACTTGACTTAGCCCGTTGGCGGGAAGCGGTAAATACTTCGTGGTCGCTTTTAACTTTCTCATACTTTTGTTCAAGTTCTTTCAGTTCACGCTGTTATGTTCCAATTTCGGTCAGTGATTCTGGGTGCTTGTCCTTGAGTTTGCAAGAGTTGACATCGTTACAAGGGGTTTTCTTACAATTGGTTCTTTCGTAGTCGGAGGTACGGCAACGAGTACACACTTTTCCGCGCCTATCGTTCACAGCTGGTAAATCTTCTAAAGCCCTTTGTTTCCCCTGTAGCTGATTTGTATCACTTCCATCTTGCACTTCTAGTAGCGTGACGTTTTCTGATAGTTCAACAGCTCTTTGTTCTAATGGGCTTTGAGTCATTTCAGGGTGACCAAACGCCCGGATAAAAGGAAGTTTGGACCAGTTGCCCACAAAAAAACTAAGATTTCAGCTCCATATGTTTCAAAATTCCAAAATCATCCGGCTTCTTATGCCTGTATTACGGTCTCTGGCTTCATTTTCTTGCGTGAGGCACGTTGTTCGTGGCAAACAAAAAGAATAGTTTTTCTTTGTTACTCTTATATAAGCGAGAGTCTGATTAGATGAGTATTCAACCAACTGAAGTCCTTGACAGATAGGTCCACGTTTTTCCCGCGAAATTCCTCGGTGGGGGAAAGGGGGGGGGGGTAGAACGTCCAATTCAAAAAAGAAATTTTCCGGGGGGTCGCATTGGCGAATTCGGTTGGGGGTGCTAGTCCGAAAAAAAAAATCTCCAGATTTGAGATCTTCAGATGTTGGCATCTCTAGCTTTGTTTAGATGCGGTTGCGCTAGCTTCTAAGCCAATGTTAATTGTGGCCTCAGGTGACTCTCGCCAGAAAGATTCGTCAGCACTGCTTACATTTTCACATGGTGCCATATTCAGTTGCTTTGGCTCTAAATGGGGTCGACGACAAGTTAACGTTTTAGTGTTGTTTAGCTCAGCCTCCGAGATTCTTCTTTCTGCTAATAGCAGCTTGTCAGGGGAATGGAAGGGAAGAGACCCTCGTGAACGGAAACCCCAGCTTTCAAATCGTAACGAAAGTCTTTCCAATTTCATTCCCGGAGATAAGGATATTAGCCAACAGAAAACTTCGCTTTTTTCAGCACTTACCAAACTCTTAGCAAAGTCAACGTATATAAAATGTGTGCCCCTCGATATGAAGTGAGCTTGCGATTGGACGATAACAAAAAAGCGGGAAAAAAGTCTAGGTGTTCACGATTCGACTGTCCTCACTGTAAATGCATAAAGCCTTTGTCCAAAGGAAAAAATTCCGTTGGCATTCTCTGCAAGTTCAGGAGGAAAACCGGCATCTATTATTACAAATGAAATGAACGAGCAACTACATGAGACTAGTATAAACTGGAGAAGCTTAGCAACATGCCTTAGAATCTCCGACCACAGGCGGCCCAAGAAATCAAGTCTAGTTACTTCAAATCTTACCTTTGATGGATCGGGAAGCAACACTTTATTTGGCCTTACACTAACAGGCTTGTTTTTGAAAAGGCAATGTAAAGTAACCCCCGTAATTCCCTCCTTAACCGGTTGAAGTGTTGGCTTTACGAGCTTATTATGGACTGACTTAAGGATTTTTATGTCTACAGTCTCTACAAGCCGAGGAATTGTTTCTCCAAACGCGTGTTGGTGGTCTCAACTTGTACTTCGTTCATGTCTTCAAAAAACCGACATACACACGCAATGCTACCCTCGGTACAACATTGACTGTTGGGCCCGCAAGTAATATCAAATCACACAAGAATGAAGTTGTGATCTTGACCTACTTTTCCCGTTGGAAGTACCAATTCGTTTCATGTTTGTCATTCGTGTAAGATGCAAAGAACGTGCAGAACTTACATCATGATTGACGCTCCAGCTTGGATTACATTGTCTACCATGTGTGCATCCAAAAACACGAAATTATTCACCATTAACATTTGATCGAGTTGTCTAAGACATTTGTTCTGATAATACTCAGACTTCTTTAAGAAGTTGACGCAGTTGCTGTTCTGATTGCTACGCCCAACTCAAGTGAACGAAGACGCCTCAAGGATGAAAGAATTTCCCGCCAAAATACACTCTGCTGACTAGCTGTTGCTCACCGGCTCAGAAAAACTAATTGATGATCTCGCATAGTGATTTATTTCTTTCACACAAAAAGTTCTCATTCTCAACAGTTAATATTTATTTCTAGGTATATTGCTACATCAGTCTTTTTCTCGATTAAGGTTTTTTCATTCTCAATTGGTAATTTAAAATCTAGCGTGAAAGTTCTTCATTCTCGTAGTGATTTCGCAATCTCGCCTATCTCTAACTGAAACTCGAGAGGGAATTTTGAACTCAACCCCTATTTGTCATGTTTGGCTTGCCATAAATCAAGTGCCATGGTGGTGAAAATAAAAGAAAATATCTCAAAATTCAGTCTGGGAGTGTGACAAATTATTCGCGAGAGAGAGGCAAGAAAGCTGCAGCAATGAAGCAGGTCCAACTAGCTTATTCTGCCAAAGACTGCAAAAAACTGTTGGAGAAGACATTACAAAACAAGTGAGGGCAAATTTCCGGTAGCAAAATGTTTGATTGCTCGGACCTACCTCTTTTCTGACATTCCAAAGCCCTCGTTCGGCGTCCGCATGCGCACAGCCTCGCCTCAGTTGTTTTGATGTCAACATTTAACCATTGTTTTATGTATCGCTGTTTCGTAGCGGTGGCTCGCTATAGTTTGCGAAACGAAACGAAATTCAAATCTGTAATTTATGAAATAAACTCGACATCTGTAATTTTCGAAATGGAAATCTGGAAATCTGTAGTTTGCAAAATTGAAATCTGTAATTTGAAAAACAAGAAATTTCACGTCAATATCATTCTACCATGTAGAAAGCTTAACCGCCGATAATATTGCATTACTTAAAGGCTGGTTTTCATTTACAACGGAGTTGGTGTCAAAAGCGAATGCAATATTAAGTTTCCACTTGATCAGAAGTGCTCTTACCACTCCGACTCCGTCGCTAGTGAAAAGCAGCCTCAAGCAAATTGAAGAGAAGGATATTCCGAAAAGATTATTTCCTTTTTTTCATAGTTTAGGGATAAACCATGGGCAAGGGCCGGAAGAGCATTTGCAATAGAATTCGTCCAAACTTAATGGAATCCATCGAGCTACATACACATTTCTTAAGTTTCCAATCAGTTAAGACATTTGTTCAATGAAATAATTATTTACATTGGATTGTACGGATATGTTGAATAACTAAAAATAAAAAGCTATAAGCAGATGACAATCTTTATGAAGAAAGAAACTTTTTCCGCGTTTATGATTTCTAGATTATTTCTCTTTTTTTTCTCCCACGAAAACTATTTTTTCTTTTTTATGTTGGAGGGTAGATGACGATTTGCAAAGTACGAAAATGCTGATGCCCAACAACAAAGCCGGAAAGGAAGAGATTTATAAAGACCTTGGCATTGTCTTTCAAAAATCAAGCGATTTTCATAAGGCCAGAAAAAAATTGGCGGATAAAGAAGATGCAACAGGAGACTATGAAGACAATGAAAAGACTTTGATCAAAAGGTATCTTTTTCGCAATAACTCAGTTGTTTACCTTTCCGTTGTTTTTTGTTTTTTATTTTCATGTTTCCATCAAGGAAGTGGTACTTAGTTATTATAAGGAATAATAGTGAATCATTTTAATAAATGTTTTGATTTATGATTCTAATTTGAGTCTATTTTAGTCAAAGAAAATTAAATTGATGGAAAATTTCTCAGCAAAGCTGGCTTAATAATGTTAGAACCATTCTTTTAATTTTGTGTAAATTGGGTTTTGAGGAACAACCTTTAAGATGTTCATATATTAAATAACTTCTTATTATGTTCATCTATTAATTTAGTAAACCAAAGCAGGAATCTCACTTTACTGTTGGGAGTAGCCAATTCAAAATATTTTTTTGTATCTTATGCTTTAATTGCTGACTGAAACAAAATTAGAGAAAAAGAACAGTTGTTCGATTTAGTTTTGAGGTTAAGTGCAAATTATTTGAATCACTCTTTCAAACTGTAAGTTTGCGACTCGCATTTTAAATGCCTTTGCCATTGCTTACTCCACTTGGGAAAAATTATCTTAAAAAGCTAGATGATTAATTTCCCTGTGTATTTCAGAGGAAAACTTGGAGGTGAGGAAGACACATGGCACCTGAGGGAAGCTGGTGCCTCTATCAAACTTAACAGTGGAGCTGTCCAACAACCTTTGCCATTTACATGTAGATGCTTATTGTGGAACCCCAGGACCCTCTCCCCACCCCTTGCCAGTGATGAGATATTGGTTAGCAGTGTTATTGAACTATCTCATGATGGCCCACCGAATCTGGAATACAGGGAAAGTGTTGAAGGATTAAGTTTTACTGTATCTTTGTTGCACAGTGCCCCAAATTTGGAGGGGTATGAGGTGGTTATCAAGCAACTGACTGACCAAGAGAACAATGAATGGAAGGAATTAAAGACAGAGAATACTTGGCATGGATCAGGTACCGTTATGTTGTTATTAAATACAAGTGTGAATAACTTAATGAATGATATTCTCAGGCTCCCTTCTTCACTGGCATCAATGTCAGTATCTGAGCAATTGTAAACCTCCCCCTCTCCTGATCCAAAATTGATCCGAACTTGTAACCTTAACTTATCAGTTGGCTGTTGTTGGCTTAGGGGAGGAGTAGATGTGCAATGACTCAGATACTGATATCGATCCCAGCAATGCGTGGCCTAATGCACTCATAATGTCAAAATAAACTTCTTGCCACTTCATGTGCGTTACAAATCCAATGGTTTTTTCAAACTTTTTTCCGTTTTCTCTGTAGTTGCATTCAAGCAGTACGTGTAATTGTTGCATAAATGTTACATGAAGTCTACAATGCATTTCAGTCACTACAATATAAATTTTTCTCAATCACCATGTTGTTGCAAACTTTCTTCTTTGAAGCGTAACTATTCTCATGATATCTGTTGGGGGCAACTTCATTGTTTGAGGACTTTAAAATACTGCTGAAGGACGTAATTTCAACCATTATTTTACTTTCATGCAGAAACGTCAACAGTTTCCAGGTGGCTTTTCCCATTTGCACAAGCTGTTGGTACAAAATCAGGAGTTTCTTCATTTGCTGCAATCTGGCGTCCTAAGTCTTTCACCTTTTCAAGAGGTACTGCGGTAGGCCCGGGAATGACCTGTATTGTGCCTGACTTTCCTGATGTCAGTGTTCAAATTCCTCAGAGTTGTGTTCCTGTTAATCAAGATTTCTGTGTGACAATCCAGGTACATTAAACTATATAATTATATACATAGATGAATAAAACCTTTACCAGTTTTGAAAGTAACATATAAGATTGGTGTGAGGGGATTGTCAAAAGCAAGGAGATAGCATAAAGGTGCTATAAGAGTACAGCCTGTACCCTCAGTTACTTGCAATACACTCCATGAGCTTAGTGGCAATATTGATGGAGAGATATCAATTAACAACTTTAAGCTAAATACAAGACAACTGTGCATGTATCTACATGTGTGTGAGGATATATACATGAAGTAATGTTCTAATCAGTAGTTTTGGTAACTTTGAATAATTTGTGGCACTTGCTGTCCCCTAATGTACTCATGAATCCTAGCAATCGCCTTTTCAAAAATTAGATTTTGGAAAACTCGCTTAAAAACTCACAACAGAACATTTGTTTTTGTTTCGCTACAATATAAATTTCAAGTTGAAATCATTCTTGTGAGCTGAGTTGGTTATGTAGTTTTTATTGGTTTGCAATTATTGCAATTAGTGGATGAAGTTGAGCATGAAGTCCTGCATCATCAAAACCGAGGTTTCACTTATCTACCAAAGCTGAAGATGACCCAGACATAAGGTTTGATAAAAAAGACACTTCTCTCTAAGTTTTAGGGCGTTGGAAACTAGGCACAAGCTGAACTCAACATGATAACTGCGATATCTGCTGCAGATATTGGGTTATCCTGTTAACTTTATACACTATTGTTTATTGATTGAATGTACTCGACAAATCAGATATATTATAGTAAGTTCAATGTATAGTTTTTTGGATAATAGTGCTTAAATTAATACTACATCAAACTTTAAGAGGACATTTACATTGTATACTATTATTAGAGAATTGAATTTCATCCTGAAACTCACTTTTTATCATGTAAAGAATGTAAATGAACTTTATTTTGGGAGTAGTTTAACATGTTCAACATAACCTTTTTTTGGTTTTGAATCAAGGTACAAGAATTTCCAAGCAGTAAGTTAAAAGGAGAGAAAGGACTTGTCGGTCCAGTTCTGCACATTTCAGGCATTCAAAATGTTACTCTCATCGCGCCTGTAACAATTAGGATTCCTCTCACCCTCTGTAAAGGGAAACAAGAGTTGGCAAAGTTATGTCCTGGTGAACTTAGGATATTACACTGTGAGTCCCTAGTTGAACCACATGACTGGAAAGACATCACAGATGGACTGGATGAACCGCCACTTCTTCTCGATGGGAAAGTGCAATTCAAAGTCAAGCATTTCTCTAGGTAAGTATTTCTTGTCGGCTTTATTTGAAAAATAGTGCGCAGGACTTAGAGGGAATTTAACAGTATTACAGCATAGAGTCATAAATGCATCTATTTATTTTATTTAAATATAAATTAATCATTAAAATGATCACTCGAGTACGTAGACTCAAGGTTACTGTGCAATGGCCATAATCATTTCCGTTAGAGTGCTTGAGCTGTATTTGGTTTTTTCTTTTTTCTTTTCCATAGATTCCGTCCAGTCAAGTTGAGGACATCGCGTTTAAAATCTGCTTCAGACTTCAATGCTTTTGTAAGAAAAATTCGCCGTAGGTCGAGGCCTCAGTATGCCGGATTTTTTACGTGCCTGTGTGAGACTAGTGTTCCTGGACATTTTGGACTCAGACTTTTCTGCTATCCACAAAAACTGCAACATGATGTATACCAGAAAATATCAAGGTGTATCGTGCCCTACATAGGCGAAGGCACCTCTTTAAGACCAGTCTGTGAAGAGGAGAAAATTTTTGTGTCTCTTTCTGAGACAATCATACCACAAGGCTCAGACGAGAAAAATGCCTTACAATTTGTGAGGTATAATCATAGAATTTATTTTTGCCCCATCAAGTACATAGGATTTAATTGAATACTTCGAGATACAGTCATGCTAGTTTTACATAGAAATGATTTATTTCTTCCATTGTAAAATTGTTTATTGTTCAATTGTTAGTTAATTATTTTTCGCTATGGCTTTTCTAGGTTTCTTATCAATCAATAGGGCCATGAAGGTATACATTTTGGTTTTGTTTCGGCGTGATTGTCTTCAAATGCTCGTTTTCAAAGATTCAGTAGGGCTCTCGTCAAATATGCTGTCATTTTCGATTGTAAGCGTGTACTTTTCTACACAAAGACTCGGCTGGTGTAGTGTATGTTGGGTTTGTCTCATTTAAATTTCATTTTATTTTCAACAGATTCCGCGGGAACGAAGTTTATGACACAGGTGGTGAAGTTTGCTTAGGAAGTGTGAGTGTTCCAAAAGTGAAGTTTAACAACCAAAGTCAGGAACTTTTGTGCAACGTGACCATGGTATTGGCATCTCAAGTAAGTGACATTTTACGGTTTGTGGATTTGCTACTTAAATGCACTTTTAGCCCAGAGTTAATATATTACTGATGCCAACCTTACTATAGTATGTGACAGTGAACTAAAAGGATTAGCAACGTTGTAACCACAGGCAGTCTAAGCTCCAGATGTGAAATGATCATCATGCGAAATAAGAGTCATGGCGAAAATATGAGTTTGTATGGAAATAATTACGACTGCTCTTAGGAAGTAAAAATACAGACAAATTCTCAATAAAAATATCTCACCTTACTTCCAAAGTGCATGGCCTGTTGTCTGACCGCTTACTATGTTGAAAAGAAGCCATTTTAGCGAGTTCTCCTTTTCTAGGTTTCCTTCTCCTAAGAGTAGTAAACACTGATGAATGTTGAATAGTTAAAGAAATTTCCTGCCCACAGGAAATAGTATATGAACAGACAGGACCTTGCAAGTTTTTGATTTTGTGTATTACTTTTATTTTTCAGTTGTTTTAAAGTCACTTTCTATGCCTCTGCCTATCCTTTTTATTTATTTTCCTTTTTCTTATTACTTAGTAATTTTCTTTATTTTCTCATTTCTATTCAGCTCATACGCACCCGTAATATTGCGAATTTTCCCTACTCCATTTAGGTCTCTGATCCTGTCACCTTTGACCATGAAGAAAGAAGTGGTAAGTTGTTGTTTTTGTTGTAGGTTTCGTTGTTGTGCGAACAAATAAAATTTACTAGAGCAGTCATTTTGTTCTGAAATATGCCAATTCAGAAATGTAGGCTCTGTGGGTTTTGAAAATGTAGCATTTAGTGACAAAGCACGTGTTCTTAACGGAAAGTCATACTTGCCTTTCTTCATGTGTTAATAAATCGGGCCGTGCCTCCCTCACGCTCATGCTATTCTCTCTGTTATGTACCAGTAAACTCAATGCAAACCTCGGTGCGTATGTCTTTCCTTGTAAGAAATTTGATATTGGAAACGAGAAAAGCGCAAACAGCTTAGAAAGACACAAAGAAGGGTAATTCTCCAAAAAATTATTTCGTTGGTTATAAATCCTTTGCAACCTGATATTGCTTTTCAAATGAAATCTTGGATCGAACATGTTACCTTATAACAGCCCCCTTTGTCAAATTTGTCAATGCTCATTGTTACTTAGAAGAGAAATCGACAAAACTTACTACTCTAAGCTATGAACGCTGGGTCTTACGCGGACGATCAAAGTCCAGGATCACCACACCATCGTTTCCGAACCATATGCGCCATAAAACTTGCTTTAGTTCTCAACCCAGCCATCTCATGAAACCCATTATTCTGCAGGTACTTCCGCCCAAAGTGTGAAACGTTCAATTGTAAAGCGTCCAAATTTAGAATCATTGTCATGCAGCCCTCTTGCGGCTCGTAGGAAGAGGATACGCGAATCTGCAGGTAACATCGAGATTGAAAATGTCGTGATAGATTTCCCTTTTTAATTGTATATTTTTCAAGTTTGCATGTTGCTGTTACACGTTTATGTATGGTAAAATTTGTTTATGCAGAAAGACTTGCACTATAATTACTAGGCATCCTTTCTACCTAGTTATAATGTGAAGAGAACAAAAAGAAAAACGAATTAAGACTTAGTGCTATCACTAATCCAACACCCGTGTATCTTGAACAACTATCACCTACTCCAGCATACACACTTGCGTTAATCTGCAACCCAGCCTCTCCTTAATTTTATTATTATAATGGTATTTCAGCCCAAAGTGTGAAACATTCAATTGTAAAGCATTCAAATGTAGAATCATCGTCATTCAGCCTTGTTGCGGCTTCTGGTAAGAGGAAACGGCAATTTGCAGGTAGTACCGAGATTGAAAATGTTGCGATGGATTTTCTTCTTTATTGTATTTTTATCAAGTTTGCATATTGTTGTTACACGTTTATCTAAGGTGAAATCTGTTTATGCAGAAGGGAAGAAGATACGCGAATCTGCAGGTAGTATCGAGATTGAAAATGTTGCGATAGATTTTCCTTTTCATTGTATTTCTATCAAGTTTGCATGTTGCTGCTACACGTTTATCTATGGTGAAATTTGTTTATGCAGAAAGACTGGCATTATATTTATTAGACATCTTTTTTGCCTTTTTATAATGCGAAGAGAATAAAAAATAACGAATTAAAGCTGGGCGCTCTCACTAATCCAACACCCGTGTTTCTTGAACAACTATCACATAAGGCTTTTCTTACGTACGTTGAAAACCTCGAAATGAACAACTCGCTAAAATGGGCTCTTTTCAGCAAAGTAAGCGGTCAGATAACAAGCGATACACTGTGAAGGTAAGATGAGGTATTTTTATAGAGAATTTGACGTATTTTTTTATTCCTTAAAGCGGTCGTAAATATTCCCATACAAACTCTTATAATTCCGCCATAACTGTTACTGCGCAAGATGATCATCTCACAGCTGGAGCTTGGGCCGCCTGTGGTTACAGTAACCCAATGTAACACTTAAACGTAACGAAACAAAAGAAATAGTTCCAATCATAATTTTGAGGGATGACTGTGTTCATGTGATAATTAATTATAACACTTATTGGGCAAGAGTAACACAAATGACTGCTGTCTGGTATCAGGTTTCGAAGTCATGTCTTATTCCTGCATTCAGAAAGGCCACGTTTTAGCTTTCATTTTGAAAGTCGTCTGTTTATTTTTTAGGAGCCCACATCTCAATTGTTTTTCACTAGTATACTTTGTCCTAGATTTCATGCATACATTCCGTAGTTAATGTTCAGCACGAAATTGGCAGTCATCCCCACAAAAGTCCTCCGCTACCAATCCTCAAACTTGTCAAGCACTCCGCCAATTTCATTAAATTGTTTACTCTCCCAGGCTCCTCAGCGGCATTAGTTCTCGTTACCACGCTTTGCGTAGTAAATAAGTGTTAATTCAACTTTTTTTGCAAGAAATCGGAATTGTAATTCAGTGATAGCGATGACTTTAGAGTAAGATAACAAACAAAAAGTGATTGAGTTAAATACTACATTTGATGTCTTCTGAGATCTGAGTTATATCTCAAAACTTCTGATTAAGTATTAATGGTCCGATTATATTTATAGCAAGAGAATTTCTTTCAGAAATTTTCCAAAATGTCTTATTTACAATCGGGACGGAAACCAAACCAGAGTGCCTTCAATCAACATCCTGATACATTCAATATGCAATTTGGAGTTTATGATTTTTTCGTGTGGCATGCGCGCTGTAAGCTTGTATTTTATAAGTATTCGCTATATCTAAGTATTGAAGAGCTTGCTATTGATTTTGATGATTTTGTAAGCTCCAATTAAAACAGAGGCAATAAAAGCAGTTTAGATAAAAGGGAAAAGATTGAACGGCCTATCTGGATTCTTACCACAGAGTTTGCGTTTTCTGCGTTGAAATTGAAGTACCCTTCAAGAGAAACGCATTGCGTAAGGCGTCGTTATCTTTGCCACGATTTCTCTTAATTTTCCTTCGTGTTTTCTGCTCATTCATTCAATTGTTCAGTTGTTAAAATTGTTGTCCTTGCGGATTGTAAATTTTCTTTCAGGCGCCTTGATTGGTCTCTTGCGCTTTTTGAGGGTTGTATTGAGAATCATTTACTTGATCACGATATCTGTCATAAATTAATTCTTTTCGCTGTTAAACCTTGCTCACGGTTACTTCCTAAAAGCAATATAACATTTTCCTGCGTTGTATTTAACGAATAGAGAAGCCTTGACTGTGCTCTGTTCTGTTGAAAAGCACTCAGGAAGCGGCTAGAGCTACTTCTTGAGTGCTCTAGCCGCTGTCAAAAATGTCAAACCCGGCATCAAAGTTCAAAAACCATCAAAGTTCATATTCTGCAATAGTTTACAAACTGAAATATTTCGGCATGTCGAATTTAACAGTTTTGTCTGAAGTTTTCAGTTTGTAATACAGAATCTGATAATGAATTGTTCGGTGAAATTCGGCCCAATCGTGGCTCACAAAAATACGCAAGTTATTTCATATGACAAGAAGAAAAGAAACTGTTCAAGACGAGTGTTTTATGAATGAATGGCAGCCGAATTCACCAGGACATGAAGATCACTCGGAATGACAGCGCCGTAAAACTCGGCTACAGTGACTGATGTGGCCTTCCACTCAACGCATCGGAAAAGTTATCAGAGCAAGCTCTTATTTTTCCACTCTAAGGGTAGTCGATTTAGTTCCAGAGGCTTGCTCCACTGCGATGACCAAAGATCGACATGATGAGCTAGCCGCGATAGACCTCAGAATGATCGTAGTAGCTCTAACGCCGTCATGAATTTTAACAGTTATGCCATGAATTTTAACAGTTATGCCAGGCTATATTTTTCATCATTCCTGTTTTTTTCTGTTTTGTTTTTGAACACGAAACTTTATACACTATGCAAGTGCTAGCTGTGTTTGATTTTTATCACCGTACGTAAACTTGCAATCTAACTAAGCGTGAAAGCCCTTAAAACTCAAACTGTCCATTTTCTTTTATCTTTGAGGATTTTTGTCTCTGATCACGTTACAGTAACGTAAATTACTGCGCCTGGCATTTTTGCAAACCTTTGCTCGCTTGTTCCGAAATTTCACTTTCAATTTAAGAAAGAAAAGCTAGTAAGAAGTCTCGGAAAAGGTCGGACGTAGTACAATTTGGTTTATGGCGTGACAGCTTTAGCTCAGTTCTATGCTCTATACTCTCCTAGAGCACGCTCTTTTAACCAATGAGAGCACGCGTTATATCCGAACTTAATTATAAAACATGATAACCCACTTGAAAGATATCGGAAGAAAATTCGAGAAGCTTAGCCCCCGTCAGACTAAATGGCTCCGACAGAGGCTGATGCCAGCTTCAGAATCCCACTACGGTGGCCAATTTGTATTATCAGTTTGGTTGATGACACCAAACTATCCTATGTTCAATTATCTCATCAGTTACCTTAGTTGCTAAACGACTTATTACAAATCTATCCTGCATTGGGAAAGAACATGCCTTTTCTTTTGTCTAATCACATAGCTCCAGAAGAAGAGAAGTCACTTGAGGTGGAAGAATTTTCCTCCAGATCAACTGATCAAGACGTTCTCCAGAAGGAGGAGGCTGCAAGAAAAGTGGATGAAAGAAAGACTGTCATCAAGAGGTGCAGTTCATTTGCATGTAGTCGTTCTGTTATCCCACGTTAGTGGAATTATATATACATATATACATAAAAAATGAGTTATACAATTGCCCCTAAGGGTGGCTACTATGCAATTTCTCCTCACAACATCACCCCTGAATCAAACTTTAAGGTCAGGAGAATAAAGAAAATGATCACCCTCTAATGCAGCTCTAGATTGCCAAAAGACTTCTCCTCGTCAGCAACTTAAGAAATTTTTCCCGAATAGTTTGGAGAAAATAAAAACTGCATGATGTCAGGGTGTAAAGGGTTAACATGATTTGCGAATATTTGCGTGCAATGCACATTAGCGACATAACAATCACATTAAGCTGAGCTTAATAAAAGAAAAACTTTCCCTGAGTAGAGTGAACCATGATGGTCACATGCACAATTGAAAATTTCGGGATAAAGAAAAGAATGGCTATTTTGAATGCTGTTCATAAAATTTTAAATAGAATGTTATTGATTCTCTTACTTGATGATGCTATGAAGAAAATAAAAAGACTTTGATCAAAAGGTATGTTTTTCGCAATAACTCAGTTGTTTACCTATCCCTTGTTTTTTGTTTTTTATTTTCAGTGTTTCCATCAATGAAGTGGTACTTAGTCATTATAAGGAATGATAGTGAATCATTTAAATGAATGTTTTGATTTATGATTCTCATTTGAGTCTATTTGAGTCAAAGAAAAATAAATTGATAGAAAAATTTCTTAGCACAGCTGGCTAAATAATGTTAAAGCCATTTTTTAATTTTGTGTAAATTGGGTTTTTGAGGAACAACCTTTAGGATGTTCATATATTACAGAATTTCTTATTATGTTCATCTAGCAATTTAGTAAACCAGAGCAGGAATCTCAATTTACTATTGGGAGTGGCCAATTCAAAATATTTTTTTGTATCTTATACTTTAATAACTGACTGAGACAAAATTAGAAAAAAAGAACAGTTATTCGATTTAGTTTTGAGGTTAAGTGCCAATTATTTGAAAGACTCGTTCAAACTGCAAGTTTGCGACTCGCATTTTAAATGCCTTTGCCATGCTTACTCCACTTGGGAAAAATTATATTTAAATACTGAATGATTAATTTTCCTGTGTATTTCAGAGGAAAACTTGGAGGTAAGGAAGACACATGGCACCTAAGGGAAGCCGGCGCCTCTATCAAACTTAATAGTGGAGCTGTCCAACAACCTGTGCCATTTACATGTACATGCTTATTGTGGAACCCCAGGACCCTCTCCCCACCCATTGCCAGTGATGAGATATTGGTAAGCAGTGTTATTGAACTATCTCATGATAGCCCACCAGATCTGGAATACAGAGAAAGTGTTGAACGATTAAGTTTTACTATAGCTTTGTTGCACAGTGCCCCAAATTTGGAGGGGTATGAGGTGGTTATCAAACAACTGATTGACCAAGAGAACAATGAATGGAAGGAATTGAAGACAGAGAATACTTGGCTTGGATCAGGTAACGTTATGTTGTTATTAACTGCAGGTGTGAAAAACTTAATGAATGATACTCTCAGGCTCCCTTCTTCACTGGCATCAATGTCAGTATCTGAGCAATTGTCAACCTCCCCCTCTCCTGACCCAAAATTGATCCGAACTTGTAACTTGAACTTATCAGTTGGCTGTTGTTGGCTTAGGGGAGGAGTAGGTGTGCCATGACTCAGATACTGATATTGATCCTAGCAATTTCGTTTTACCTGTAGTTGCATCCAAGCAGTACGTGTAATATTATTACACGTACTGCTTGTATTATTACGTGTATTGTTGCATAAATGTTACGTGAAGTTTACAATGCATTTTAGTCACTATGATATAAATTTTTCTCAATCACCATGTTCTTGCAAACTTTCTTCTTTGAAGCGTAACTATTCTCATGATATCTGCTGGGGGCAACTTCATTGTTTGAGGACTTTAAGACACAGCTGAAGGGCGTAATTTCAACCATCATTTTTATTTTCATGCAGAAACTTCAACAGTTCCCAGGTGGCTTTTCCCATTTGCACGAGCTGTTTGTTCAAAATCAGGAGTTTCTTCATTTGCTGCAATCTGGCGTCCTAAGTCTTTCACCTTTTCAAGAGGTACTGCAGTAGGTCCGGAATTGACCTGTATCGTGCCTGACTTTCCTGATGTCAGTGTTCAAATTCCTCAGAGTTGTGTTCCTGTTAATCAAGATTTCTGTGTGACAATCCAGGTACATGAAACTATATAATTATATACATGGATGACTAAAACCTTTTGCAGTTTTGAAAGTAACATATAAGATTGGTGTAAGGGGATTGTCAAAAGCAAGGAGATAACATAAAGGTGCTATAAGAGTACAGCCTATACCTTCAGTTACTTGCAATACATTCCATGAACTTGGTGGCAATATTGATGGAGAGATATCAATTAACAATTTTAAGCTAAATACAGGAGAACTGTGCCTGTGCTTACATGTGTGTGAAGATACATACATGTAGTCATGTTCTAATCAGTAGTTTTGGTAACTACGAATTATTTATGGTACTTACTGTGCCCGAATGTACTCATGAATCCAAGCAATCCCCTTATTAAAAACTGGATTTTGGAAAACTCGCTTCAAGCAACAGAACATTTGTTTTTGTTTCGCTTCAATATAAACTTCAAGTTCAAATCATTCCTGTCAGTTGAATTGGTTATGTGGTTTGTATTGGTTTGCAATTAATGCGATTAGTGGATGAAGTTGAGCATGAAAGCATGCATTATCAAAACCAAGGTTTGAGTTATCTGCCAAAGCTGAAGATCACGCAGACATAAGGTTTGATAAAAGAAGACACCTTTCTAAATTTTAAAAAGTTTAAGAACTCTACACATACAGAGGGCGTTGGAAACTAGGCAGAGGTTGAACTCAACATGATAACTGCAATTTCTGCTGCAGATATTGGGTTATCATGTTAACTTTACGCATTATTGTTTTTTCATTGAATGCTCTTGACTAATCAGATATTTTATAGTAAGTTCAGTGTATAGTTTTTTTTAATAATAGTGCTTATATTAATGTTACATTAAACTTTAAGAGGACATTTATATTGTATACTATTATTAGATAATTGAATTTCATCCTGTGATTCACTTTTCATTTCGTAAAGTATGCAAATGAACTTTATGCTGGGAGTAGTTTAACATGTCCAACATAACCTGTTTTGCTTTTGAATCAAGGTACAAGAATTTCCAAGCAGTGAGTTAAAAGAAGAGGAAGGACTTGTCGGTCCAGTTCTTTACATTTCAGGCTTTCAAAATGTTACTCTTATCGCGCCTGTAACAATAAGGATTCCTCTCACCCTCAATAAAGGAAAACAAGATTTGGCAGAGTTACGTCCTGGTGAACTGAGAATATTACACTCTGAGTCTCTTGCCGAACCACATGACTGGAAAGACATTACAGATCAATTGGATGAACCGCCACGTCTTCTAGATGGGAAAGTGCAATTCAAAGTTAGGCATTTCTCCGGGTAAGTATTTCTTGTCGGCTTTATTTGAAAAGTAGCACGCAAGACGCAGAGGAAATTTAACAGTATTTTAGTGTACAGTCATACATGCATGTATTTATTAATAAAATATAGATTAAATTATTGAAACGATTACTGGAGTACGTACACTCAAGGTTACTGTGCAATGGCTGTTCATCATTTCCGTTTGTTTACTTGAGCTGTATTTGGTTTTTCCTTTTATTTGATAGATTCCGCCCAATCAAGTTGATCAGATTACTTTCACAATCTGCTTCGAACTTCAATGACTTTGTAAGGAAACTTTGCAAAAGGTCGAGGCCTCAGCATGCCCGATTTTTTACGTGCCTGTGTGAGACCGGTGTTCGTGGACATTTTGGACTCAAACTTTTCTGCTATCCACAAAAACTGCAACATGATGTAAACCAGCAAATATCAAAGTGTATCGTGCCCTACATAGGCGAAGGCCGCTCTCTAAAACCAATCTGTGAAGAGGAGGACATTTTGGTTTCTCTTTCTGAGGCAATCATACCACAAGGCTCAGACGAGAAAAATGCCTTACAATTTGTGAGGTATAATCAAAGAATTTATTTTTGCCCCATCAAGTACATAGGATTTAATTGAATACTTCTAGATACAGTCATGCTAGTAAGAAATGATTTATTGATTCCATTGTAAAGTTGTCCATTATTCAATTGTCAGTTAATTATTTTTCGCTATGGCTTTTCTAGGTTTCTTATCAATCAATAGGGCCATGAAGGTATACATTTTAGTTTTGTTTCGGCGTGATTGTCTTCAAATGCTCGTTTTCAAAGATTCAGAGGGGCTCTCGTCAAATATGCTGTCATTTTCGATTGTAAGCGTGTGCTTTTCTACACAGAGACTCGGCTGGTGTAGTGTACGTTGGGTTTGTCTCATTTAAATTCATTTTATTTTCAACAGATTCCGCGAGAACGAAGTTTATGACACAGGTGGTGAAGTTTGTTTAGGAAGTGCGACTGTTCCAAAAGTGAAGTTTAACAACCAAAGTCAGGAACTTTTGTGCAACGTGACATCGTATTGGCATCTCAAGTAAGTGACATTTTACGGTTCGTGGATTTGCTACTTAAATGCACTTTTAGCCCAGAGTTAATATATTACTAATGCCAACCTTACTATAGTATATGACAGTGAACTAAAAGGATTAACAACCCTGTAACCACAGGCAGCCCAAGCTCCACATGTGAAATGATCATCATGCCAAAATAGAGTCACGGCGAAAATATGAGTTTGTATGGGAATAATAACGACCGCTCTTGGGAAGTAAAACCACCGTCAAATTCTCAATAAAAATATCTCACCTTACTTCCAAACTGCATTGCTTGTTGTCTCGCCGCTTACCATGTTGAAAAGAAGCAATTTTAGCAAGTTATCCATCTCTAGGCTTCTTACTCCTAGGAATGGTATATTTTCGAGAGACACAAAATTGGCAGCATGAGTTCTCGATGCACTGATATAAATGTGTTTATCCTTCCTGTAAACATTATTGCTTGCTAATATTTCTTATACGCTCAATATGAAATTTAACATGACTGGGATAACCTTTGGTGTATTCATTATATCAAAACAAATCCAGCAAATACCTAGGAAAATAAAGCGGCCACACTAGGATCCAGCCTTCCGGTCTTTTGATCGAGTTTTTTTTAAAATACCAGTAGTAATCTGGAAAGGGAGAGGTTAAATAAGCACTGCTGAGTCGATAACAGTCTTACAAATTCGCCATCTAAAGGTTTCCGAGTAAGATAATGAGGTTATTTTAAGGCGGCACGGGCCATATAGAGGACGAATCACTGGAAACAAAAGACTGAAGAATGTCGAATAGGTAAAGAAATGTCCTGTCCACAGGACGCAGCGTATGAACATATAGGACCTTGTGAGTTTTTTTATTAAGTGTACTATTTTTATTTTTCAGTTGCTTTGAAGTCACTTTCTATGCCTTTTTACTTATTTATTTTTCCTTTTTCTTATTATTTAGTAATTTTCTTTATTTCCTCATTTCTATTCACTTCATGTGCATCCGTAACATTGCGAATTTTCCTCCCTTTAGGTTCCTGAAACCGTTGATCATGAAGAAGGAAGTGACTCCCTTCGAGGTAAGTTGTTGTTTTTTTGTTGTTGGTTTCGTTGTTTTTTGAATAAATACAATTTACTAGACCAGTCACCATTGTTCTAAAATGTGCAAACTTAGAAATGCAGACTCTGTGGAATTTGAAAATGTAGTATTTAGAGACGAAGCAACGTATTTCAACGCAAAGTCATAATAACCTGCCTTACCTCATGTATTAATAAATCGGGTCGTGCCCACCTCACGCTCAAGAGTGATGGCTTATTATCTCTGTTACGTATCAGTAAACTCAATGCATACGTTTACGGCGCGTGTGTCCTTTCTTGTAGGGAGTTGGATACTGCAAACGAGTAAAGCGCAAAAAAGCTCGGGAAAGACACAAAGAAGTGTAATTCTCCAAAACATTATTCCTTTGGCTATATCGTTAAAGTAATGGAGTAACTAGTGAGAAATCCTCTGCAACCTGCCACTGCTTTTCAAATGAAACCTTGGATCGAGAAGTTTCCTTACAACAGCCTCCTTCGTCAAATTTGTCAATGCTTATTGTTACTTAAAAGAGAAATCAACAAAACTTACTACTCTAAGTTGTGAATGCTGGGTATTACCCGGGTGATCACAGTCCAGGATCACCACATCATCGATTCCGAACCATCAACACTATAAAACTTGCATTAGTTCTCAACCCAGCCATCTCATTAACCCCATTGTTCTGCAGGTATTTCTGCCCAAAGTGTGAAACATTCAATTGTAAAGTATTCAAACGCAGAATCATTGTCATGCAGCCCTGGTGCGGCTTCTGGGAAGAGGAAACAATGTACGTAGTGCCGAGATTGAAAATGTTGCAATGGATTTTTCTTTTATTCTATTTTTTCAAGTTTGCATATTGCTGTTACACGTTTATATATGGTAAAATTTGTTTATACAGAGAGACTGGCATTACGTTTATTAATAATAATGCGAAGATTATAAAAGAAACGATTTAAAACTGGGCCCTCTCACTAATCCAACATCCGTGTACCCTGAACAACTATCACCTATTCCAGCATTAGCGACTGGAGACTAGTTAGGACACGTTGTTAATGACCTCCATTTTCAAGATGCTTGTCGGGTCATACGAGGCCAGAAATAAATAATGAGTCCGGAAAACTTTCTCAGCGTTTTTCTTTGATGGGTTGGAAAAATGGTTCCCCTGCTGCTGCAAATGTCTCCTCTCCCAGGCGTGACAGTCTTTAAGGCCAACGATTCGGTATTGAATGATACCGAAAAGAGAAATCGCCTTTCGCTACAACTGCTCGCTTTTCGCCAAAGCCTTGAAGCACCCCTTTCCTAATTTTTTAATTCTCCCTCAATTGTTATTCTCAGATATCTATATGGTTAAAGATGGTATACCATTAGATCGCGAGTTAGAAAAGCTGTCTGTGAAACTTGGAAAAAAATGGAAGGAATTGGGAAGCTGTCTGGAATTCGACGACGCTGCAATAACTAACTTGGATGAAGACAATAAGGAGTTGGCAAGGAAGGCTTATCGTATGTTATTGGCTTGGAAACAAAGAGAAGGCTTCCAAGCCACTTACACAGTTTTGTACAATGCCTTGTGTGACAAATTGGTGGAATTTAAACTTCTAGCAGAAACATTTTGTTGTACTGAAATTGAAGGCAATGCCTCTCCTTAGTCTTATATTATAAAAAGTGAGTCGTTTCTCTACAGGGGCGTAGCTAATTGTACGCACGGTACGCACGTGCGTACTTAAAAAAGTCGAAAGTAAAAAAATAAAACACGAAAGTGAAAAATGTATGTTTTTTTTTTTAATGTATATTTTCTAAATATAATCAGATTGTCTTTAAGGTGCTGCAGTCAATGAATCGAAGAAGACGACAAAAAATTTTACAACTTAGTCATCATTTCATATACAGTAAAAACGTTAAGCTCACAATGTAACTTCGCCTTTATTCAAGTCACCTGATAAGGATTTGGGACTTGGGGGTTGGAGGTGGGAGGGATTCGAATAATTATGGATACCTCTTAAAACTCCTGGTTACGCCCCTGCTCTAGTACGTCATATGTCTTTGTGAGTACTCCAAAGAGCGTTTGTATCGAGCATTCGCGCTCAGTAAGTCGTTCATTTTGTCTTGCGCTCGAAGATAAGGAGAAAATTAGCTTTAGAGTAAAGATATTTACACGTATTTTTGCAATCAAGAAACACTAGCCAAAGAACATTGAGGTCGGAATTCATTCGAATGTCCAGCACATGTTATGCACATTACCACCCTGAAGCATCTAATTTAATTCCTCACAGTTTAAAATTAGAATGCATTTTCTCCTTACTGTTCTCTGTGCATTTCCTAAGGAATGGACATAAATAATTATTTTAAAAGTCAAGAGTTTCTTAAGTTGGTGATCAGTTACTTTATGCTCATGCTCTTAATTTCTGTCTCAGGACCCTGTAAGGAGAAATTACATGCTAGACACTGTTTGAGTTGAATTAATCGTTTGTGGTGAGCTTGAAGTAACAGCGTAATTATGCATAGAGTGAGATTCCCCCTGTGCTAGTCTGGGGGATAAGCATAAAACATATAATGGCCTTATTACAGAATAAAATTTGGAGATGCTGAGCTGTCATTTTGATCTTAAAAAGTGTGAAAGGTTAACAAAAATCAAATACACAATTTCTTTTCCTGAGGCTTAGCTCCCATGATTCTTTGTGATTCACAGAGATTTGGCCCCATTGAAAGTTCAACAATTGACAAGTTTACCCCTGTTACGACGAGTTGTTCCCTTTAATATGATATAGATTTACATAGCCGAACCTAGAAGTGAACTCTACTCAGTTCATTTTTCAGCCCTTCAACTTACTAAAACTCCTAAGCACTGGCTTTCGAAGAGTTAACGAGATGTGGAACGGAGGGACGATATTCTCACAACTTGCAAAGCGATCAACATAGCAACATGCATGCTAGTCAGCGGTATTTTCAAGCAGCTGAAGACCTTTGTTGATGTTCCTAATGGTTGAACGGATTGTCCAGGATATAGAATGTTTTCTTCAGATATCATGTATTATTTCAGTATCGGTTGAAATGATATTATTTTGTTGCACGTGTTTGTTAATTTCGGTTTAGATTGAATGAAACGACGGTAAACGACTTTGAGTTAAGATCTAGATATCACCGGTCCTTTGAAGGGTTTACACGCAAGATCAATAATCAGTGAAACAATGTGCCAGAATCGTATTGGCATCTCTTATACTTTCTCTTGGTGTCGCCATTTACGACTGTTTACCTCAACGGTTTTTCTCTAACGTGTCAAACTCCTCTGATAACCTTAAAAAATTAGAGAGAAAACTCACTTTTAACTCGTGTTCCTGTTTAAATCCTCCTCTATGCTGTAACTGCATAATTATACCAGTGTAAATGCCTGTAAACCAAATGTCCACTATCCTGGCAACTCTAGCTACTGAAACACTAAAGTTGTCTACCATCTATTTCTTGCGCTGCGAAAGTTTGATTTTAACGAAGACAAGCTAAAACGGAATATATTTGTTCATTACAAAAATTGATCCAAACATCAATCAAGTTTTGTATTTAGTTTTAAAATTGTGTCGCTGTTGTTATTGGCCCATAAAAGAGGTTCAAAAGTCCTAAATGGTAGCCTCATGAATTTCAATCCTACACTTTCCAAAACAGTCATCAGAAGAACTACAAATCTTATGAGAGATCAAACGAAGCTTCCGGAATTTGTTTCAGCTTCGAATAGTGAATAGACAAGATTGACAGGAAAGAAACCTGTTGACGCAATCAAAGAAAAGGCGGTTGACGCGTAGAATTCAACGACTTATTTAAGACCAGTCGGCCTGAAGGAAGAGAGACTCGACTCCTCTAAAAAATTTGAGATATCTCTTTGCCCCCGGTGAGATGGAAAGTGATCAAAGAAGGCTGTTTTCTATTATCTAAAAAGATAGTCCAAAGTGTGCATTCGTTGAAGAAGAGCTTCAGATTGTTCCTCCTGGAACTGAGCTGCCTCCTGAAGGAATCCGTTGATTTGAAAAAAAGACTATTACAAAATGAGTTTCTCAATAGTCCCAAGCAATCTTGGTGACACAGTTAAGGAAACTGATAAAGATATTAACAATACTAAATCGTCAATCTTGCCAATGCAAATGACACCGAACAAGAAGTATGTTGATGAAAAAACAGAAACAATCCATTTTTTGTCAAAATATGTAGGAAGAAGTCTTTTCGTTGAGACATTCATAAAAAAGCAACATGCTGGTATCACACAGACCACAACTCAAACAGTGATGTACATCATCAAAACAAATTTGTGTCACTTCTTTCGATCTATTAGGATTGAACAACCATGCAACACAAAACAAACAAATTCACGCCGACCGAGAATATCTTCTTCAAAAAAACAGTGGAAGACACTTTTTCTCTTTCGCTGAAGACAGAGTCTTCGATCTCCCTTTCAAGTTTTCCTTTTCTCTTTCGCATGGTCTTTCTGTCTCTGCGCATGTTGTTTTGAATCAAAATAGATAGTCGTTAAAACGAGTAAGTAACAAATTGAAATATTCTCTGATTGGAAATGGAAACTGGTGGATTTCGCTGCCGAGAGACTGCCGAGACTGATTTAACGATTGCTGGCGCAAAAGAAACAAGACAAAAAAGAGAAGATTTTGGATTTATCATAGTGATGTTGATGGAGGAGGAAGTTATGATTCAAAAACAATCCCGACAACTTCTGGGAGATGGAAAATTATCCGATATCATTGGGTGAAAGAAATTGACAACGATTGAAGTGTCAATGCTTCTTCCTTCTGGTACAAGGGTAAAAAACTTATCAATTTTTTCTGCAACTCCTGAAACAGAGGCAGAGTTCGTGTAGGGGATTTTCACAAAAATAGTTGAGGATCGTTTTCTTTCTTCTCGTTTATAAAGACACTTTTTTTGACAGAAAAACAAGTCAAGGCACGCCACGACTTCTTTGCGAGAAGATACAATATTGATACTTGAACAGTCAACAAGATTGAGTGGTTAATTCAGGCGTAATGATGCTTGATGAAGAAAGGCATGACTTTGGAATTTCACATAGTGTAACCTGTGAAAATTTCAGAATATATTGAAAACGAGGGTACTTCACAGATTGAAAGTTGCAATAAATGTATCTGAATTTCACAGGGGTCTCTCTGTGAAATTTAAATGAGCCAGAACCCACTTTTCATAACTGCTTATGTTTTTTTAATGTGGACCTCTCCACCTGCTCAGTCAAGGGCGTTTCTTCGTTTTGATTGGCTAGCATTCATTGGGTTTGACTTGAAACAGCCAATTTGGGCACTTAAATTAAGGCATTTGTTAACAAAGTGTTTGTAATCAGACAGGTAAAGAGCACATTTGGACTTGAAACAGCCAAAATAGAATGATAATGTTAAAACCACTTAACATATTAAATTTGAAGTTGACACAGATATTTGATAATCTTAAACTTTTGATTTAAAATATTTGTGCTCATCATTTATCTAAAATCTTGACAAACATGAAAAGAAAAAAGAAAAAACAAAAAGAGAGCGACAACTTATGAATAAACTCAAAATAAAGAAAAATTTTTACCTTAACGGTGCAAAGCTTTAAAAGCATTTAAAAACAACGAGGCTGCTTCTAAAGAGTGGACATAAATATTGATCCACAGGACTAAATTTATAAAAAAAAAAATGAGTAACAATACACAACGATATAAACATCGACTTCAAGTACGTAACGCAACTAATGAAACATCCAAACACTCACAGGTAATTAAAACCCAAACGCGATGAAAACGCACGTAAATTTAAAGAGACGCTGTGAAGGCAGAAGAAATGTACTTAATAAAGGAGGACAGGCGGTTACGTCTACAGGCGGGAATCGTCAGAATTTTGCCTATAAATCAAACCTGAAAAATCATTGATTTACTAGATACTTTGAAGACTATCAACGCTACATTTTATTCTTCCGTTATATTAATAAGATTAATTGTACGGGCGAGGGCGCTGTACATCAAGTGGGCGGTGGACAATATTACGGCCGCCTAAATTTTAGCACAATGGGTACTGGGGCACAGTGTGTGATAATCACTGGACAATTAACGAAGCCAAAGTGGTTCGTTGTCAGCTTGGTTTTTATGGTGCAACTCAGGCTTGTTGCTGCGCTGCATACGGTCAGGGGTCATGTCCAATCTGGATGGATAATGCCAACTGCTAAAGAGGAGAGGCAACTTTATCTCATAGCAGAAGCAAGGATTGGGGAGTCCAAAACTGGTATCATGGAGAGGATGCTAGTGTGGTGTGTAACATTTGGTTGGGCCGTTCGAACAGTTTTACTTGACTGACAATTACAGCTTGATACAGGAGCAATCTTACTTGTTGTAAGATAGTCTCAATTGGGTTTAACTGTCAGCCGTCAAAATCAGAATAACCGTCATCCGTTAAGGCTGCCCCCAGTTGAGACCCTCCTGTAGTGTCTTCCTTGTTGAGAATTGCAGTAACGTCGAAGGTAGCAGCGCATTAGCACAAAGAGAAGCTATCTCGTAGAATTGCATTGCATTCTTCCTTTGCATAATTTCCCTTGTCACCGACGCTCCCCCCATTATTGTCAATGATTTCCCTACCTTTCGATAAAAGATTGCAAACACACCCGTATTGGTTTATCGCCCCAATTAGGCCAAGGTCATACACAAATACTTAGATGTACAAAAACAGATAAAATCAGGTACAACTGTACTTCATGTCGCACACACTTGGCGATCGTAATCCTTCAGAAAAAAATACAAATGAAGTCCACTCTATCTTGACGAGTTACACCAGTTTAGAAACGAATTAGAACCAAAATAAGATTATGATTAGAACGATAAAAACGTAATCGGATAAACACTGAAGTCGATTTCAGCGCTCTAATCGTTGACAAATGTCGGGTTTTTTTTTTTTTGCGAATACAAGAACGTGTATAAGATAATTCCCAACATCTTAGCCGATGGCTCGGAGAAACCGAAGTTCAAAATAGTAGCGTTAGCTGCAAAAATGATTGAGATAGTTGCAAAGATGACCGCGGCAAGGATGCGTTATTTCCAGAAATAGAAGGAAAGGGCGGAGTTTGCCCTAGATGGCCAATAATGAGACAGGCTTGATGACATCAAATATCAATGTCGTGATATTGTGACGAGTCGTTCATATATTCAACAACCGGCTAAACAAAGTCAGGTTGAAAAGTTTCGTGCCACACAAGTATTTCACACCAAGTTTACTGCAAACGTGGCAATTATTCGGTGGACCATGCCTTTAGAAAAAGCTTTCTACCTACTACAACTTTGTTTCAGTTTTTTCTTTTCGGTTTTGCCTCAGGATAGGCGAAATCCTACTGTGAGAAGAATAAATTTCGTTACTAATTAACAACTGACAAAACTTTAAAAAAAAATTAACCATTCATAGGATTTTTCTTTCTTAAGTTTCTTCAATTTGTTGTTTCCCAGAATTTTTTAAGCGTGTTTAAGAAAGCTATGTGGTCTGTTTGTTTGAT